AAGCCGGGCTAGCTCAATCGGCAGAGCGTGAGACTCTTAATCTCAAGGTTGCGGGTTCAACCCCCGCGTTCGGCTTAATCGGTTCGTTTTTTGGCTCCTCATGCGGTGCCCTTCACAGAAAGCTTGACTCTGTTGAGCTCGCCGAGATTCGGAGGGAGTCACGGTGCCGTCTCGTTGGGAGGTAGAGTCCCACGTCACATGAACCATAGGATTGGAAGTGTCCGAGTCGCAGCTCGAGACGTGTCACCACATATAACTTCCGTGCTGAGTGTCAGGTATCGGCAAACCGATAGCTGTGTATGTCCTTGTACGTCAGACGATCCTGTTGCGTGTGACCAGCAGCATATCACTGGGAGAACATGCGGTGTCTGTATCACCTAAAACAGGCAGGGTTGGTTACCGTATATCATGAGACCGAGCAGGAGATTAATAGCGTTATACCGGTTGATAAGTTTCGCAGTAGACGAGTATCGATACCCATCAATCTGAGCCATGAAAGAGGCAGCTGAATCAGTTGGTGAAGGTTAAGTAACGTTGCTGGAATGAGAGAGGGGAGGAGTTGGTGGAATGAACACCTCTCCTGACCGGATGGATGTTCCCGCTAAGCACGGGCCCATCCTTAGTAGCTCTGGGCTCGGCCTTCGCGTGCTTATGCCTCCGCGGACCCGCGGACCCTACTGCCAATTAAGGAATCAAACTTGCTCTGCCTCTGACAGCAAATAATCATATATAAGAGAAAGGGTACAAGTCTTGATGAAGGGTACATACCAGAGTCACCCCCATCAACAAAGAACACCTGACTATATCCAACAGACCGCGTACTAAACCCGAATTTGACGAGAAAGACTACCATGCCCACCGGCCTGATCGTATGCAGTCAACGGACGCCCCGAGCCGGGCTCCAAATCAGCACCTTCATTCACGAGACCATCAAGCAATCCTACCCAGCAGCAGACATTATAGTCATCGACCTCGCCGAGTGGAACCTCCCTCTGTATAATGAGCCGGGGATCCCGTCGCGTATCACCTCTGCTGATGGTTACGTCCACGAGCACACCAAGGCTTGGTCGCGGGAAATCTCGCACTACGATTCGTTCATCTTCGTCACACCCCAGTACAACTGGGGTTACCCTGCCAGTATCAAGAATGCAGTCGATTATCTCTTCAATGAATGGAAAGGAAAACCAGCGATGATTGTCAGCTATGGGGGTCATGGGGGTGGCAAGGCTGCAGTGCAGTTGCAGCAGGTGCTGCAGGGGTTGAGAATGGTACCGTTGGAGAAGACGGTTGGGTTGGTGTTTCCTGAGAAAGAGGCTGTGGCGCGTGCTTCGAAAGGGGAAGATCTAGGGCTGGAAAGGGAGGGCGGTTTCTGGGCTGGAGAGAAGGAGAAGATTCAAGGGCTGTTCGCGGAGCTGCTAGAATCAGTAGAGAAGTTGGGATGAGCGTGTCATCGGATGTATGGAAGAGTGGTTTATGACGAGTGACACGGCTGGTCTCATGTTTTTGTCATTCATACATCTGGATAAACGATGCACTGTGCCGAAAGCTATCAGACTGATTCGAAGCTGAGACGGCCATGTTGTGGTCGGACAGGTAATCACCTGTCATTAGAATGTCACCTAGCCTTGCTGATAGCAGATGTCTCCTGTTCATATAATGGAATGCGGTCGAGATTACTCACCACTAGCGGCTGCCTCGAACAAACACATTCGGATCAAAATCCCGCCCCGGTGCGCTCTTACGGCAGCAACCCGACACGACTCCAACTGATACTCATTCAAGATGATTCATTCAGCCTCGCTGATCTGCATTCTTTTACTTGTATTATCACTCCCATCATCGTGCCTCCAACACAACGTCAATAGAACCAACGAACATACGCAGATTTATGATGTCTGCATTCTGGGCGGCGGAGCGACAGGCACATACGCTGCAATCCGCCTGAAGGACCGCGGGAAGCGAGTTGTGGTGATCGAGCAGAACGACCACCTCGGTGGCCACACAGAGACTCTCTACCTTCCCGATGGTAGCCACGTCGACTATGGCGTCGAGGGTGTATTCGACGACAAACTTACCAGAAAGTTTCTGACGCGCCTGGGGATCAGATGGCGTCGTGTGCTCCCCAATTATACACGTCAGGACTTCGTAGACTTCACCACTGGTCGAATGGTGGAGTCTCCAGTAGGGCTTGTTCAGTTACTGTTCGCAACCATACGATATCGACTTGCACTCCGACAATTCCCATTCCTTGACAAGGGCATTTATGATCTTCCGGATCCAGTACCAGCAGCCCTCTTCCGCCCTTTGCGGGAGTTCATCGAAGCAAACTCACTTGAGGATGTCATACCCATGTTGTTTTTCTGGGCACAGGGAGTTGGCAATATGCTCGAAATGCCTGCAATTTATACCTTCCAGAACTTCGGAGTACCACATATAGACGCCCTTCTTGGCGGTTACATCTCACCGGAAAAGGGTATGTACGATCTGTATCGTCGGGCAGCAGCAGCTCTTCGTTTCAATGTTCATTACCAAACCAAAGTCATGGAGACCAATCGCTCTGACTCCGGCGTTACGCTCACTGTACAGCATAATAACGGAACCCAGAGCACCATTCAAGCAAAGAAACTTCTCGTGACATTCCCACCGATCATGGATAAGCTCCAGGGCTTCGACCTCAACCAAGAGGAAGCTGATATTTTTAGCAAGTGGTACTGGCGAAATTACTATGTGGCGATCATCAACAACAGCAGCATTCCTGATGGCCTGTATGTGACCAACACCAATCCTCGCACTGGCCCAGGGTACCTACCTGATATGCCCTTTGAGTCCCTGATTCAGTACATGGGTGTATCTGGTTATCCGAATACCAAGATCGTGGGCCCGATGAACTTCACCGCGGAAGATGCCAAGCAGCTCGTTGTGTCGGATATTACCCGCATGAAGACTGCAGGGACATACTCCGTCTTAGAGCCCCAGATTGCCGCATTCGCTGATCATTCGCCCGAGACATTGATGGTTGCTCCGGAGGAGATCCAGTCAGGATTTTATCGTCGCTTGTATGCTCTGCAGGGACAGAGGAGCACCTTCTATACAGGATTGACCTTCTGTTCGGACTATTCATCCCTGCTGTGGGCATTTACGGACACTATCCTTGAGAAGATGCGTTGACGACTGGAAGATAGGGATAGATGGTCCGCAATATAACTCTCGTACCGTTAACACATAGTACCTATTATTCATGCCGGAATGAATTCTGGAACTGATTAAAAAGCTTCTGCATCGACCACAACCAAGCCATCCACACTCCGAAATATGACATACTCTCTTTACCGTTCACTGATTCGGCGCCAAATTGGCGCTTGTATGTATTCTCGGCTAGAATATACTAATGAGAGCCTCGCTGAAACGTGCTCGCATAAGAGTTTCTTGGGGAATTGACGTTTCTGGGTCCGAGGCTCCGAGCATTCCTCATACCGCTCGAAACGCTTTCAAATCATGGCATTTGCAAGCTTAGCCGGAATGCCAAAGGCTGGTTGCAAACTAAAAGGCCTGGATATATGATTTTATGTCACTAGGAGGCATAGAGCCGATGTTGAGACGCATGGTTGAAAGTGCGTGGTTGTCTGCTCATAGTTCTCACAGTTCAGCTGCGCACAAACGTACGTTGGGTTTGCGAAATTCCTGGATATAATGAAGCTGAATGGAAAGTGGATACATCTAAAGCTAGATAACCGAGAGGCTAAATCGGCTTGGCCGAGACATGCCCAATGACGCAGGAGGATGGATAAATCAAGGCGAGCTGTCAACTGAAGCACGCTAAGCATGGCACGTGCGGGGATCAGCCCTCTTGCTTGGCTTATCAGCTGCTGTCACTTGCTGACGACTCCAGTCCAGCATTTGCCGATCAGAATAATGCAGCTGCCGATGACGGAAGATGAAGCGATGTGAGGTAGTGCGGTAGCTCTTCTGGGAGCTGAATAAATACGAACGACCCCTCTGTCAGGACTCAGCTTTTCTTCCTCTCGCATCTCTTGATTCTCACAATAAATCTCTCACACACTCTATTTGTAATCCGCATCTCCCACATCCATAATGACCATCCCTCACTACGGCGTCTGGGTAGGTCAACCCACCCGGTACACAGCTCAGACCGACGAAGAAGACCCTAAGTCTCCTCACATCTATCTCTACTTCAAAGACGACTTCTCTTCACACAAGCAGCTCGAAGCCGCAATCAACGTCAAATCTACCGATAAGGACAGCCGTCTCGTCTACTGGTTCGACCGACATTTCACCCACTCCATCACCGACGAGCTCGCCAACCTGGACCAAGGCTTCCATTTGCTCAGCTCCTACGCCCACAGTCGCTATCGTCGCCGCGAGACCGCAGACCTGGAGGGCCTGGATTTTGTCCGCACTAAGGGGCTGGTTGATATCAATGCCGGCGCTGTTCTCGGTGCTGACGGCGACCAGGATATTCTCGATCAGGTAGACCCCATCCTGACGGATGCAATCAATCAGAAGGCGACGGTGTACATCTTCGGATCATCGTATGGCTCTGGGATCCACGATATTCACATGAATCAGGGCAGCGTCGGCTATACCAATGGAATCTATGAAGATGGTGCTTTGTTGTTCCTGTTTGAGGATGGGCATTGGGAAGCGGTATTCTTGGCCTTTGCATCCCAGAAGATCCCCACGAATGACAAGGGAGAGCCGAAAAGTGATAGCAATTCACTGGCCACTATCCTGGGTCAGTAGAGCGGGGTTTGTCTGAAGGAGTGGGGATGGTGCCATGCTTGTGTGACATGCTGGGCTGATATGATAAGTCAATATGTGCTATTCTAAGCAAGCTCCGAAAATATCAGTGGGGTAAGACCGGCACATTATTTATTGTTGCGGTGAAAAGATTAGCTCGTCGTGTATCATTTTAGGTGTTCTACATTGTCTTTGCTAGGAGCAGCAAATAACATTACTTTAAATACAGTTTACTTATTTCAGAACACACTACTGGCCCTAGATATGTTACAATATTCTTCCTAGCCGTTGATTCTACTACCACTGACAAAAATTGGCCCAAAACATGCAGCTTGCTCCCAAAGTGGAGGTGAGAGCACATGGTACTTTGTGAACTGTGGTGCTAATGCAGGCAATTTTACAATATTAGATATGCATTGCATAATTCATTCTCACAGAGAGCCGCCAGACCCTCTATAATTTAAATAGATGATGCTGCGAATGCAGAAATAGTAGGCATGTCTTAATCATGGTCACCCACAGATAAAAAACATTCACCTTGAGTCTGTGTGGGGCAGGCCCCTCTTCACTCTACCTATATTCGATTGAATTCAATGGAAAGGCTTCAGACTGAGAAGCATTTAAATATATTGACCCTAGCTGCATGGCCACCCTGCTGTAATCACTGGGCGGCCCGAATATCTAGAGTTTTCCAACCCGTTCAGTAAGTCTTTCTGTTAGCCCTTTACTACGGAAAGATGAGGTAATTATCAGGCAGCCGAAGCTCTATAGTTTGGTAAAAACGCAGAATACCCGGGTAATCGACTTCGCTCGCATCCTCCTAGGTCATCCGTTGTCTTGTCAGGATAGCCCTGAAACAAAATTGACCAATTCCAAGAACACATCTGTTTTCTGATCTATGAATTATGCACGGGCTCGAAAAATAGCCTCTTCCGATCCTGCGATTACGCCGCCAGCAGTAGGGGCCATTTCTTTAGTATGCTTGCCGATAAGGTCAAGACAGTCTTAAAGGATAGTTCATTCCTGAATGTTGTTGCAATTGCTCAGTCTCCCGTTGCTGCTGCTAGTCGTTGGTTGTACCAGGTTAGTGCCGGGCCTCATGAGCTCCAGAGCTTCATGAATATTGCCGGTATTGTCTCTAAACTTACTTCTAAACAGCCTAATGCATGAGGTTCCCAATCCGATTTTATGCATCCCGAGCCCACGCAAGCTGCTGGCCGAGACCCGTGCCCAGACGATCGGAAGCAAGATTGACCAGATATCGACCCCACCCCTCCATCCACCAATTGTCAATGATGAAGTCAATTGCGGCGCCAAAATAGCCGAGCAAGACAAGACTTATAGGCTCATCCTGCGTCAAAGCATCCAGAAATTTCGATTTCACCAGAGCTGCCCATCGCAGTAGAACGGCTGCTTTGTCAGTGTCAGCGCACAGCTGAAGTACGCTCAGGAGGCTCTCAGTGGCATGTTCTAACGCAGGGTCTCTTGTTTGCTGAAGCTCGAGATCGCATTCCTGCTGCTGCTTTGCATGCAGCTCATGCAAAAGACTGTAGATGGTCGTTGCATGGAGCTTGATGGACGTATTCCCCCGCATCCTTTCCACGGTCAATAGACCGCACATGCCTCCTTTTTCGATCCACGGTCGAGCCTGCGAGACCACAAAGGCTGCTCCACGTATAAGCTTGAAAACCTCAATGACACCCGACATCGACTGAGCTTTAGATTCGATATTCGGCCCATGGGTGGCGAAGGAGAACATGGGGACGAAGCAGGAAAAGGCGAATAGAGCATGGCAATTATCCGGAGTGACTTGACTCAGGAGAGGTAAATATAGCGGCAATGCAGTATTGTTGTGAGTCATCGCCACTTCGGTGTATAGCTGTCGACATTCGACGAGGCCATAGTGGCTCAAGTGAAGAGCTGACATCGCCAGGAGAATGTGCATGAGAAAGGAAAGTGACAGCGCCTCTTGCAGCACAAATGTACGTAGCACCTCCCTGGTTGATTCCTGGTGGAGTAAAGTGTCAACAGTGGCTGCATGCCAATGATTGAGAAGCTCAAGATCGAGCATGGGAAGCTGCGAGCCGCCGTTCAACCCGGAGATAGCGTGATACGAAGGCTCCTCAGGTTTTCGCGGAGGACGTTGAGGTTTGTCATCGCCATAGAATGAGAACTGGATATTTTTCCTGCGACAAGGACTGCAGATTGGATGCAATTCGTCGCATTTGATTCTGCGCTGTTTGCATTGGCCACACCCGTGATGCGACTTTGCGTAAGGGCGCCGCAATGGCATCTCTTTAAGCCGGACATGTCCAGGAGAAATGTAAGGGGCAGTTCGAATGCGGAGAAATTGGAGCCTCTCGTCTGTATTCTGAGGCATCAGCTACTAACTCCCGTAAACCATACTTTTTGTTGGGTATAAATCTCGAGAATGGAGCCATGAGGAAGTTTCCGATTGGTCCCGCACCCTCGTACAGATCTATTTTCGTTCTGGAAAAGTCAATGCCAGGTGCTCTGGCATCGAGATCTAATGTTATTGTATCCACTTAATAGCTCTATTTGCAGCTTGTTTACCATTTCTTATGGCTGGAGTTTTGGCTCCCAACACTCTTGAATTCGAGATGATCTGTTTCTTTCCTCATGGAGACTAGTCCAAAGGATAAAAATGCTGCTTATCCCCTACTTGTTCTCTTAACATCGCATTCCACATGCTGGTCATTCAGGTTGCAAAACAAACAGGAGGCAGACAGCGAAATAGACAAGGATGGTTGAGCTGGCAGCTCGCTCAGGGTTTAAGTACTATTACTGCAATCCCTCGCTCGCCGCAGCAGTCATTTTCATCATATGTTTCCTTCTCCCAACAATTTTACACACCTATCAGCTAGTCCGCACGAGAACATGGTTCTTCATCCCGTTCCTCGTGGGAGGCTACAGTGAGCTACCACATGTCTCACGCACGATAGTTCCTGGGATAATGTCTGGATGCCCCTAGTTGAATTCATCGGATACTGCGCTCGCGCCGTATCAACGAAACAATCGCCTGATTGGACCATGGGACCTTTCCTAGTTAACTCTCTGATGCCACTTGTGGCACCCGCACTTTTCGCCGCATCCATTTATATGGAACCAGAAAAGCTTGTCGTCGTTCTTCACGCCGAGCGCTATAGCCTGATCAGACCCAAATGGATGACCAAGATCTTCGTGCTGGGCGATGTGTTGTCCTTCCTGCTCCAGTCCGGAGGTACGAGCTCATGATACACCTGAACCCAGGAGCCTGGTGATAGTGTCCATGCTAAAATTTACTCTTTTCCCTCCCATGTAGGTGCTGGCATGATGGCTGGGAAGACCCAACCCAGCTTCAAGACTGGGTCGAATATCATCGTCGTCAGGCTGGTCGTTCAAATAGTGTTCTTCGGATTCTTTATCGTTACGACCGGCCTCTTCCACCTGCGGATGAACAAACAACCAACGACATACTCGCCGAGTTCAGGCATAAACTGGCAGAAGCTAGTGTGGACCCTCTACGCGGCGAGTATTCTCATTCTCGTGCGATCGATATATCGTCTGGTTGAATATGTTGAGGGGTTTGGTGGATATTTGCTCTCGCACGAGGCATATCTGTATGTGTTCAATGCGCTGCTCATGTTTGTGATGATGCTGTTTTCCCATGTTGTCCACTCAAGCGAGCTGAATACTTGGTTGAGATCCGGTGGATTGGTCAGTAGGGCGTTCAAATTCGAGCGATTAAATGGGGATGGCATGCGAATTGCGTGAGTGGTATAGCATATTCTACTTATACTGTGCGGGATATCCTGTCAAGTGAGATGGGCAATATATTGCTAGAATCAATGCATGAGAGGCTGCTTGTGATGAGTTTGGTATTAATCAGAAAAGGGGAAAGATGGGCCACCTACTTGTGCTAGTCGGGTTTCTTTAGAAACATGAAATGCTTGCAATGCGATAGCGTGGTCAATGATTTTAGGAATATAAGACATAAATATTAGACCATCTTCAATCAACCAGCATCATTGGTCTAGTGGTAGAATTCATCGTTGCCATCGATGAGGCCCGTGTTCGATTCACGGATGATGCACTCTAATTTTTGCTTATTTTTGTTTTTATTTTAATCTTCCTTGCGCAATATCCGCGATACCTGCTTTACAGTGCCTTGCTATGGACCAAGACTTCTGTCCGTCCCATTCCAGACCTCTCGCTATAGGTTTCCACGATAATCTATATCGACATAACTCAATGGCGCCTTGCTCCCTGGATTTCTTACTGTCTCGAAGCACGGATTTCTATGAGATCAACTCGGAAATGACAACCGCCAGCACACATCAGGGAACCCACCTCCCGCGGACATTTGACCCGAATGTCATGCTAGAATCGAAACCATACCGCTCCAATTGCCGGGAATTCATTGCTCAATAGAATGTCGAGCCTTTTCCAACAACGGACATCCCCAGCATGACGATGACCCCTCGTTATCATATCCTCCGCTACTTAAACACTTCCTGCTCAAGCTTGACCCCAATAACTTAACATCACGGCAACGAAAATCCACCTGAACTCTCTACCTGACGATGTCTACTCCGAAGTCCGCCCGCGATGCATCTCGACAGACTTCTGGGGATCTCCCCACCGAGTCTTCCGAGATAGGCAACGTCGGTGTGAAGAGAATGGAGGCCCTCTATGAATTCCTTTTTCCTGGCCTTCGTGCCATAGTCTTCGTCGGCCTCTTCTTAGTTGCCTACGTTTACGGTCTGGATGGTCTAGTGCGGAGCACATATCAGGTCTTCTTGCCTGACACCCAGATAGCAGATACGTGCTAATCAAATGATGAGCCGGCAGCCTTACGCTACAGCCTCGTATAGAAGCCACAGCCTACTTGCGACCGTTGATATCCTGCGAGCTGTCATTGCAGCAGCGATTCAGGTACATCGTGGCTTCTTTGCTTCTGCCTAGCTGCAACTAACATCTCTTGCTTCTAGCCAACTGCAGCCAAGATCGCGGATGTGTTTGGGAGACCCGAACTGATCGTGCTATCGATCGTGTTCTATACCGTCGGTATGAAGAAGGAATCCAACTTGAGCTCGCTCGCCGCTTATACAGTCCAAGGTACTATCGTCGAGGCTTGCTCGAGGACCGTTGAACAATTCACCGCAGGCGCAGTGCTATACCAGGTAAAATGAAACATTTCCCCACTCAATCCCTGACATTGACGGTGGGAACGAAATCTAGGTTGGCTATACATCTATTGTGCTACTCGTCGAAGTTCTTGTCGCCGACTTGACGTCCCTTCGATCTCGCTTGTTGCTCTCCTATATCCCTGCGATCCCTTTTATTGTAAGCGTGCCTCCTTCGATCACAGATAATGTGTCACTCAAGCCGGACAATGTAGATCAATACCTGGGTTAGTGGAAACGTTGCGGCAGCTGTTCTGCGCGCCACCAGCTGGCGTTGGGGGGTTGGAATGTTTGCGATAATGTACCCTGGTAAGTGGCAGACCTCTCTAGTCATGCTCAGCTGACCGCAATCAGCCTGCACGGTCCCACTGCTAGCCATGCTGTTTATTTGTCAGTATCATATGAAGCGTTGTGGCGATTTTAATGGCCCTTGGGGACTTTCTTTCACATGGTGCTGCGCCAGAGAATTGTTCTGGTACATGGATGTGATCGGCATCATCCTATTAATCGCGTGCCTATCCCTGATACTAGTTCCCCTCACCATTGCAGGAGGCTTCAGCGGGCGATGGAAACAGGCCAAAGTGATTGCGCCTCTGGTAATGGGGTTTCTATGCATCCCCGCGTGGGTTCTTTGGGAAAGAACATGCAAGCACCCCTTGGTGCCGTTCAAGGTTAGGGTGCCATTCCTTGTATGAGCTGCGTTAACACCTGGAGGTTAGCTGCTCAGAGACCGAGCTATCTGGGGATCCTTAGGAATCGCCGTGATGCTCAATACAGGTATGACTACGAGCTTGCGCATGAATGGTCAGATGTTTACAAGGTATAGCCTGGGCAATGCAAGGAGAATATTTGTATACGGTTCTCGTCGTCAGTTTTGACGAGAGTATCAGCAGTGCGACAAGAATCCACTCGCTCTACAGGTAAACTTCCCTGAACCAAGGCCGACGCAAACTGACGTAGACAGCTTTGCCTCTGTCATTACTGGTTGTCTGCTGGGGTTTGTTGTATACGGAGTGAGACGACTCAAACCTTTCATCGTTGCAGGTACCCTTTCATTCATGGTCGCGTTTGGTATATTGATCTATTACCGTGGGGGGCACGCTGGATCAAGCCATTCAGGTATCATAAGTGGGCAAGTTATTCTAGGCATTGGTAGGACACGGCGGAACCCCCATCAAAATTTAGCTCTAGTACATATCTGACGTCTCACAGCTGGTGGGCTCTTTCCATACTCCGCGCAGGCAAGCATCCAGGCTGCTACCAAGCATGAGCGTTAGTCACAGTACCTGAACAACCCTTCTTGCAAACAGCACCTAACCAAGTCAGATCTCGCCGTGGTCACCGGTCTCTTCATGGCCTGCTACAACGTCGGCAGCGCTGTTGGGGGAACCATCTCGGGGGCAATCTGGACTCAAGTCCTACCTAAGCAGCTCGAAACCCGCCTGGGCAACGCCACGTTAGCGGCCGAGATATACGCAGATCCGTTCACATTCAGCCAGCTTCACCCCATCGGAACAGCAGATCGGGATGCGGTCGTCGACGCGTATAAGCATGCGCAAATGCTGCTGTGTATTACTGGTCTTTGTCTGACCGTGCCGCTAGTTGCGTTCGCTCTCTGCACCCGCAATACAGTCCTCACACGTGAGCAGAGCCTTGAAAATGCTGAGGAGTACTCGGAGTAGGAGGTCCAGGTGAGCGAAAGCGGGCTAGACGTACTTCGATGAGTAGGGGGTCGAAGTTGAGTGATCTAATCGTGGTGTCACCGAGCATTGATAATCAAACTGCGATAGTTACGAGATTGGTTATACTTGTCAAACTCGGAGACCAGCCCACGTAGCATAAGAAAACGAGTAGGCGAAGAGCGAACGATCAAGGCTGGACAGCCCTCTGCAAAGCACGTTTACCAATAGCCATGTGTCTCACAGCATCAATTGCTAAGACAAGTGAGACTTCTTCAATCGGATGCCTTAGAGATGCTCGAGGCGCAGAATACATTATTGGGGAACATTCTGACCCGCTGAAAACGAGGGAGCAAATCGAGTAGGACCAGTAATAGGACATCGTAGTTGCTACTTCTCTGTACTTAATTTCTGGCTGTGAGTTCTAGCACAGGTTTACAGACTCTTAGCATGCCATTCCTCCTGTGAGCACCGAAAGCAAGTCCAATTGAGCAGAATTAATACCCCCCATCTGCATACCTATACTACCCAGAGTCCAGTTCACACCTGCAACCCCCAAGCGACCACCAACCCCCCAAGACCATTGACCCGGCACCAGAGATACGAGCGCATATCACAGCAGGATACACCGCACGCCTCTCAAGCAACGGTAATAGACGCCGACCCACTGCTATAGTACCCCTCAGTGGCCACGATCTGGTAGTTATGGGTGCCCAGATTCAGCCCCAGCCTGGCCCAGGCATTGAAGTGGTTCGCCGTCGTGATGGTGCCGCCGACACGCTTGGACTGCCGAATGGACCAGTACTGATTGAAGGTGGCCGTGCCCTGGATGGAGGGGGCGTTGGTGCGGGTCGCCGTGTAGATGTTGTAGGTCGCGCCGTCCGAGTACACGGTGCCCCTAAAGGTCCCGGCCGAGGCCGGGTTATAATCGCCGTAGTCCTCTAGGATGTAATACTCGACTAGCGGGTTTGTGGTCCAGCCGTAGACGGACAGGTAGCTGTTTCCGTTGTTCACGGGCGCCCAGGTGCCGGAGTAGGTGATTGATCTTGAGGGAGGGGGGTCTTAGTGGATGCGATGATGTCTTGAAGGAGAATCATGGGGAAGTCAAGTGGGCGGGAAACAAGGCTTCGTCGTACCTAGCGCTACCGGGATTCCAGCCCTTTCCACCTACAAAGTTCGACGCTGACCGCCAGTTGACCGTGTACGATCCCCCGTTGCCGTTGGCGTATTCGACGTCTCCGCTGGCACCGTCGGTCCAGAACGAGTAGTAGTAGCCGTTGTTCCAGCCGGTCGAGCTGCCGGTCGAGCGCTCGGCGAGGGCAGCACCGAAGTTTGGGCCGCTTTCCTCCAGCTGTTCAGCTGGAGCAGCGAGGGCCTTGACTGCAAGGGCGCAGGCGAGGAGGAATTGAGCCAGGCGAGCCATGGTAGTTTTCACTGATGAGTTGGCTTGAAAGTATGTGTTCTTTTTGAATCTGCGGGATTGTCTTGTCTCTCACCCCCCCAGAAACCCGACTCGACCCCTTCTTTATACTTTGTCTGAAGAATCTAATTTAGCCGTCAGGGTGATGAAGACAGGGCTTGTGAAACGAAGGTGTGTTCTTGGCTTCGGCACTTTAGGGGTGCGTTTAGCCGGGCGGAACAAGTGCCGATCCTAAAACGGAAGCAATGTCGATCAGTCAATCTGCCTAAATGAATCTCTACCCCGGATTATGGCTAATGCCACTGCTTCATTTCTTGGCTAATCTTCGTGCAGAATGGCGATGATGGCGTTTTCGAAGAGCCGAAGAGCCGAAGAGCCGGGTGTGTTGGGTTGGGACTTGTGCATTTGTGCCGGGCTGAGTGATACTGCCGGACAAGGAGCCAAACCTCCAGATACAAGTAGATATAGGCAGTCAATCAGCCAAAAGGCAGCAACAACTCCCCGCATTGATCCTATTTGCCGCACGGAGAACTGGCCCGAGTTGGAATAGGAAGTCTAGGTGAGAGGGGCTAAGCCGAGTGATCTGTCTACCAAGCAGCGTATGCTGTTCTTATTGTCGCTTCGAGCCAATAGTTGTTTGGCATCTTCATTAATCCGGCTTCCCAGGTCATACTCAATTCGATAATACGGAACCTCCATCTTCGCCATCTTCAAGCTGGGGAGGACTAGGTTGGCTCGCGTTACCAAGAACTGAGGGTAGCCATTCAAGTAGATATGGTTCTTTGAAAAGTTGCAGATAATCCGACTCCGATACCTCTAAATGGTTACTGAAACTCTATATCGAAAGCACGTCCGCTCGTGCTTACTGTCAATCCCCATGGGGGTGGGTCAACTGATTGATAAGATTGATAAGGGTTTAACCGTAGGGTCACCTCCCTCATTGGTTGCATCAATGAAATGATAGCACAGGATTGTTCAAATCCAACGCTTCTACCTAGTATTTCCGTCCCTACAAATTTCCTATAATTCTTCAAGAACCTCGAAGATACAATCTCTCATATGTCCTGTTGCGATACTGCAAGTGGATATCAGGAACAGTGTATCTACTGATACATGGAAGCGTGGAGCGATCGATCGACCGCCTAGAACTGGAGACTATGAAGATCTTGAGACGAGGCAGGGCCCGATCTACGGCCCTTGCTTCGTAGTTACAACCCCCCTTCACAGGTAGTCATACTCAACCCTACAAGTAGCGTTGTATCCGAAGTGTGTGGAAGGAGGAAAGCGAAGAGGGTAGCTTTGAATCCTAGTGCAGCCGCAACACATATTGTCTCACGAATAGGCCGAGTGATTACAATCAGATAGTATACCTCTCTCTCTACCTGCGAAATGAAGCATCGTCTATACTGTGTATCATTAGATGATCGGCACTCAGATAATCGGCAAAATCGTGCCCGAGAAGACAGATCCGAATGACCGTGAGTATTGCCTGCATCGTGGCTTGAATTCAGAGCCAGACCGAGGAGGGTAAGCCTAACCCAGTGAATGCGACATTTCTCGCGGTAGATACAGCGGCATTTACCGCAGACCACACGATAAACCACACTAGAATCGACATGAAGATTCTTCCTCCTGACAACACTATTCCAGAAGAAATGTCGAAGAAGTCTAGACTCCACCGATACACGAGCGGCATCAGTCCACATTCCACGTTCCGCATCGGAAACCGACGAAAAGGCCCCGGACAATGAAACTCCGCTTTTCAATCGAATTTTCTCGTTTTCCAAAATACATCGGAACTATTACTCAACAAATAGGGGAGAAAGAAAAAGAAGAACAAATTACGAGTACTTTATAGCTCATTTCTCAAACCATAAAAGAAAAAAGAAGACTAGACCACGTATAGTATATTAGCGTCGGGATCGGTGTTTTGTGAGAAGTCACGAAGGCAGCACAGCTACGGCTGTGTGTACGTATCCGAAAGAGGAACTCTTGACGTCGGGAATAGGGTCATAATAGTCAACAGGCTACATGAAGAAAGGATCATTGTAAGGGTCTAGGAAATGGCCTTACCCCAAGGGTAGAGGTTAGAGTTAGCTGGAGGAGGATTTCGGCCATGCTGACCTGTTGTTCTGTGCAGCCAGAACAGAGACAGAAAAACAAGGTTAACTCCAGGGGCACCCGACCGAGACGAGGGCCATGGCATTACTATCGGCTCCACATGCCTTACTCGGGATTGATTTATTGGCGATTATCGGCGTAATTCTGAGAGTGAAAACGGCTCAGAGGCTAGAAAGGCGACGACGACTCTCACAGGCCGCATTGCGACAGAGGCCTAGTGTGGAAGAACATCCGGGGAAAAACGCGGGTTCGAAAGGTTGGGGAGTCGAATTTGAACTTTCGGCACCGTAGAAGGCTAGAAGGAGGGGGGCAGGGTAATGCATTACCCGCCACCCTTCGGAGTCAATCATTACGGCTGACCGTCTGGCTACCGGCCAGAGTCAGGGTCGGTCGTTTGGATAGGATAGAATTGTAGCCTTGTTTCCAGCCACAGACCATGATTTTCTCTACGGCAAAACCCGGGAAGAATTCTCGACTCTGCAGAATTAGGGCTAGTTTCCTCCAGTAGGAAGTCGGACCCCTATAGAGATGAGCCGATAGGACCGAGCCTCTTAACACTAATGATGAATACGAACTGCTACGTGTTGTTCAAATGGATACCGCGACTGCGCATGCATTAGACGAGTCATTTGCCATGCGTAAAAAATTAAATACAACCCCTTTCTCCCACCCGAATTAGTTTAGATCTGCCCCCCATCTTATCCAGCGACCAGGTCGCTTACATCTCCACAATCTCACCCTGGATCTTAGCCTTCTCATCATCCAAGTCCTCCACCTTCTCGACACCAGTAAGACCCAGACGGTCGTAAATGTCCTGCATGCGGAGACGATCCGCCTCCGCAATGCTGTCCATACTGCCTCCGAAGAAAACGTCCAGCTCCTCCAGGGTCTTGTCTTTAGTTTCAGGTGCAAAGTACCAGATAAAGATACCCCCTAGCGCACTGAAGATGGCGAAGAAGATGTAGGTTCCGTACTTCATCGAACTGAGCATGTCCTTCGTGGTCAGGCCAATAATAAAGTTGAACATCCAGTTAGTGGAGGCCACAATGGACACACCGCGAGAACGCATGCTGCTCGGGAAGATCTCCTGGGCGAGAACCCATGACACAGGACCCCAAGAGTATGCGAATTGAGAAGCGAAGATCCAGATAAAGACAATGGCAACCCATCCTTGAGCCTTGTACAGCCCTTCGTTCAGGTTCCAGTAATCCTCGTAAAGACCTTCGACAATCGCAACGACAATGTGACAGCAGAACATTCCAATGGCTCCAGCGATGAGGAAAGTTTTGCGGCCGAACTTGTCAAGAAACAGAACCGCAGGGAGTGTGAAGATAATCTGAATGATTCCGGTGACACCCGTAGCCAGCAACGTCTGCGTGGTAGACGAAAAACCGAAAGATGCAAAGATTTGTGGGGCGTAGTATAGCACAGCGTTGATGCCTGTGAACTGCTGGCAAATCATCATTCCGCATCCGAGCCAAAGACGTTTGAACATGTTGGGAGCGAACAGGGCCTTCCACGGAGCCCATTTCCCGCCGACTCTGATGGCTTCCGCATTGGACTCCTCATCAAAGAGCACGGCGGCCTTGATCTCCAGAACTTCCGCCTTGAGCAGGGGATCATCGGGCGAAAGGCGCCTAAGCTTGCAAAGAGCAGCAGTGGCTTCTTCTTCGCGGTGCTTGGACATCAACCAACGTGGAGAGAACGGGAAGAAGAACATTCCGAACAGCAAGGTCCAAGCAAAAAGAATTTGCAGAGCCAAAGGGAGTCGCCAAGCAAGAGGCTTTTGTCCCATACAGGTGTGCCCGTGGGCCGCGTTATAGTCGAAGGTTCCATCCGCCAGATAAGGATTCTCCACGCCTTCGGGGTTGCAGGTGGTGCCACCCACATATTGCATTCCTACTGCGGTGTAAGCAAAGCCAAAAATTGCATGGCTAATTAGAAAGGACCTTACCATAATCCAACCAAAAGGAGATGGCGGTTCCAATGGTGATGGATAGTTGCTGCAACGAGACCAATGAACCACGCAGCTCGGGAGGTGCGATTTCGGCTTGATACAGAGGAATAACCTGCAAGATGGCATCTTAGTCAGACCTCCCTACTCGTACACAGTGGCAAAGACTGGAGAAGTGAGCTTACCTGACTGAGCTGCCCGATACCGATACCACCGATGATACGGCCAGCGAAGAAGTAGGCAGGGTTCTGCGCAGCAGCCTGAAGAGAAGAACCAAGAGTGAAGACCACAACAGCCACCATCATACTGTACTTGCGGCTAATGCGGTCCGCAAGGTAACCGTTGAGCAGCGCACCAGCCCAAGCACCCAGCTCCAAAGCGGACACGAGCCAACCTTGAATGGTCGAACCCATCAGCGAAGGAAAGTGGGCTTGGAAGTTCTGCATCACCAGCACAGGCGCCATGACTCCTTGATCGTAACCGTACTGCAGATAATTAGTCTGAGGTAATCAGCGGATATGGAATGCAATACATACCATGATGCAGCCCAGCGAAGCGAAGGCACAAGTCATGAAGACATAGGGATTCTTCAGCATACCAACCAAGCCGTGAGGCTTCTCGGCGTTGGTACGCCCGACCACTGACTGACTGACAACCATCTTGAGGGGTAACTGGGACGCTGTGGGATGGTGGAGAGAAGACGAAGGGGAAGAGCCTCCATTATAACATCTACCCTATGCTGGGTCATGTGACAGCCACGTCCCGTTTTTTCCTGTTTTCTCTACGAGTTTCCAGTGACTCTAGTTGCGTCCAGGCCATGGATTGCTTCATCTGTGACTAATGTCATACGCCATGACCCATGGCCGGATGTTTGTCGGAACAGGCACCATACCGAGTCCTCTCATCTCGTTCAAAAGGAGCGGGTTGGAAGACTAGGGGGGGCCAACATGGAGGAAAGCACCAGTCGCCGTCGCAGTAAAAAGCCACAAAAAGCCATTGAGGCTAGGTCTGACACTCCTGAAGTTCGGCTTGTCCCCGCGGGTTGAATTCGACCCCGGGCCTCTACCCCGGGAATGGCTACTGACTGGCTTCGGCCGCCTGAGAGTGGCTCCGTTGGCCGTGGGACTTCGCACTAAGGTGGTCAGCACCAAGCGACCAGCAGATAATTTCGATGGTCAGATCCTGCGGGGTAGTGATCGGATCAAGATTGCTATATGGAAAATGCGGTCTTCCTGGTATGTACTCAAAGTTGAAGAAATTTGAGATTTGGAAAACCGATCCCCAGTAAGTACTAAACCCCATGGGAACAGTTCCTGCGAACGGGAATGTGAAGATGACCGATATGACCGATATGACCGACTCGTGGCGTAGCCAAGGCCAGGGGTGAGACACAAAACCATGTCAAGGTTGAGTGTCGTATCGAATGTAAGCTCCGATGTGCAAGAGCCAAGTTGACGCCCAATGCTTGGAGTGCGCGGCTGCCAAGAAAGTATGGCTCGTTCGGCAATCGGCAGTCGGCACCGAATGGGAACCGGCTCTCTAGTTCCTAGTCAACAATTCCGCTGACAGGAAGTTCAGTCAGCGAACATTGCCTCTTCCTCTATTCCTCTTTGGTCTCTAGTTTTGGGCTAAGCTGCAGAAATGTCTAAGACTCTACCAGGTTTTCATTTTTGACTGGTAGACTCCGGCTGGGGTTATCTGGGGAGTTCCAGTCTCTCCGGATTCCACGCGGCTTGCGTGGCCATCGGCCTGCTTTTCCCTTCACGTGGAAGAGGAAAAAAATGGTCTTATTCCCGGCGATTCCCCTTCCTACTTGACTCGGGCCGCGTTTTCCCCAGCCCTCACTGCATAGTATGGGGCCATTTAAGATTACTCGAGACAAAAGTCTACGCCAGGTAAGGGCAATGTGGCCGTCTATCGTCAGTGGCCATTATAATCGGCTTCATATAGTACTCATTGTGCGGGGCGCATAGATTTTATTCCGGTCCCATGTCCCCATCATCCCATCGCCCCAACCCATGCCTCACTAGAAGCAAAAATTCGCAGGAACGCCGCTTAAATCTTGATGCGAGCAAGTCATACGCCGTTACAAGCTTCGGATTTTTTCTTAATATCTCTGTTGCCATAGAAAATCCGACTGCGGCAGTTGACATGCGGCCCCCGTCCCAAAGCCGAAACCAGTTCATCGAGTCTCTGAATCATTCTGCGCTCCAACAGACTTGACCGCTTTTTCCTCTCACATACGCGAAGTGAGAGCTGTGGCAACAATCTCGGACGCCCCGAGAACCAGATAAGCCTTGGCCACGAGTTGGGAATTCACGTATGGACTAGCAAGTAGCAACAGCCTGTTACCAGACCAGAAGAACGGCTCCCACTAGCCCGAGATTCCGCACGCTAGCCTGAGCGCGTGACGTCGCTTCCCGTGGGGAAGACTTCAGGAACAGAAATCAGGGATCCGTGTGCAGCTGGAAATCTGTACAGCAAGAGTATCAGTCATATGGTCCCATTACCGAGGCCTTTGGACTTAACACCCTGTCTGTTATGTGGAAAACATCGCGCTAATTCTGCCCCTGCCAGCGGGCAGCTAGTGGCACGGGGCGCGATATCGGCGAAAACGCTACTGCCCTTAAGTCTTGGAAGGCTCAGGCCGATTGAGATTTGGAGACGGTTTGCCGATTCTAGCAGCGTCTTCGGAAAGGGAAGCTTTGCTTGACGACATCATCTGTCTTGCAGCGCCAAATTTCATTCTCCCCTTTGCCATTATTTCCCTGAATGAGCGCGTGTTCTCTGGGTATTTCCTGTATCTGGTGTGAATAGGATGCCAGTAGGAATACTAACTAACATGGTCCTGAGACCGAGTAGATCTTCTATGATATATGCATCATTTGCGATTGGCCAACTGCTGATGGTGATGATGATGCTTTCAGTGGCTGGCTAAGTCTTGGACTACCCTGGGTCACTATGGAGGGTCCTGGGACAAGAGTCTTATATAGTCTACCGATAGAGTCCAAGATCAAGTATACATAATCTATTTCCCTTCGAAAGTGACATGTAAACTGCCAAGATTCTGGAGACCCAAGTTAAAATATTGCGACCTCAATTCTGGTGGCCGAAAGTCCCTGTTGTTATGTTGGCGATCAATCTTCAGTCGGAGTCACAAAGCAAGCTCGTGCTCTCCTTGACCATCCCGCCACTTCAACATCGCGTGTGGTATCTCGAACTGATCGGGGTCGATTTCTTGGACCACTACATCGTGATACGCCGCACGTACTGTGACTGTGTCATTGGACGGGCGGTCCAAGTTAGTGAGGGTGCTAAACATGATACCTCCGGGTGAGCATTCTTCGTTGAAGTCGGCATCTTTCGGGTTGTTCTGCGCCAGTTTGTGGCCAGGATTTCTCCCACCCAACAGAGAAGGGTAGCTGGAGAAGCATTTCAAGGTTCCAGCCCGACAAAGCCGACTGACCACCACATCCAAATTTTCTTCTTTTGCAATTACCACCGAAAGAGCAGCATGGAGCTTCTGTGCGCCTTCAAACGTGATGGCATATGCTAAACTACCCACCACTTCTTCAACCTGACAAGCCAAGCGCATCTGGTTCTTGACTCCTGCTGGTGGTTCTCTCTGATAGAAATCCAGATATCGACTTGGAACCGCTGTTATGTCATGCGGCGTCAGAAGGATAGTGGAATCGGTCGCGCATTTCATCCCACAATGGCCCAACCAGAGAAGATCCCAGCGATCCCCATACGGTGACTCCACAGTCGCATTGCTTCCCTGCATTAGCTTGACCCCTGATGCAAACCCCTTCAGTTGCATTTTCAGATTGACATCCCAGTCGACGGTTTCCTCTAGTATTAGTGCACTTGCGATCTTCTCTCTCGCCACCCTAGGAATCTCTGTCAATCGAGGCACGCTCATGTAATTGCGCTGTTTCGTACCTTTGAATCGCATTGAGGTGTGCATGAAAGGTACCCATCCCTGTTAAACTTCCACCCACGATTTTATCGCTGCCCTAATGCTGTCAGTGAGATTTCCATCAATAGATCAAATCGTTCTTACATTAGAACTTTCTTCGGGATCATTGTGATCTTCTGCGACCATGCCCATGAATTCGGTCCGAAATCCCGTCCACAAAGAGCCAGAGACTATTGCTCTCCGTCCACCGGGACTGTAAGAACTGCCTATTGCGAAGACGCGCTCGAACTACTCGGTGTTAGTACATAACTGATTGATAGACCGGCGTGTGCCAAAAACCCCTAGACTGTGATTTCTAGCTGCTTCTGAGCTATTTGGGTCGATCCTGGTAGATGCAGGCGCGTTCGAAACCTTTGCATCGAAATCAGGCAGGAAATACAATAATTGAAACATAGATACGACAGCCATTGAAGACCCAATCATGAGAATCAAATATCGACATATCTTTCGTGGAGCGCATCGGCTCGACACGCTCAAGAAAGTCATGTCTTCAGATGAAGGCAGTCTGACATGCTCCGTCTGTACAACTGATCATACTTTCAACTCCATGGCTTTTGAGAGAGAACCGATCTCCAAATCTTCCTCACTGCGGCACTAGATACAGGTGTGATGAATTGTGTGATCAGGGCACGTCTTCCAGTGAGATATTGCGACTTGACGCCGGTTTCCCGACCTTTACCCGATTCGAATAATGGTCAGGGTCCGACCCATGTCTAGCTTGGGGGCCGGTGTGCTATAGCGCCATTAAGACCCATTTGGGACGACCATCTCACCACCGGGCGCCATCTTATCCCATGATTAATTTCCGATTCCGACCGCCGTACATTTGTCTGAAGGGCTGACCGAAACAGCCGCGAGGATTGACGAGCACGTTGCCATTTAGAACCATCCAACACTGCGCTCATTTAACCTTTCTCTATTTTTTTTCCCGTCCTCTGTCGATGAATTGGAAGCATGATAAGAGGGCGGCGCACCTTGTGCACTATTCTCCGCGATGTCTTTGCTCCCCGACGTCGCTTGAACATCTGCCACCATTTCAAAGGGCATATCTGCAAGGCTAAATTCGACAGACTTCCCTGCACACTCGAATGCGAAGGACGCACACAGTAGATAAGATCTGCTGAGATTAAATGTGCTGAAAGAAATGTCCGACCGGCTTAGCCTCAGAGGCCCCAACGTGTGAGATAAATCCAAAGTCCCCATTACCGGCATTGCAAGAGATCTTTGATTCAACAACTCGATTCTCTCGTGTACCTGCCCTGATAATGAGCCTATTAGAGATGGTGCAGCACGCGCAGCCGTTTGGCTGACAACACACAGAGATAAAGATTGCAGTGAAATCTCGGGCGGCAGACTGACAGATGAGTCTTCCATGAAGGGGTGGATCTCTAGAAGGCATGTAAGAGACGATCCTTGTTTGACACGTATCGGATAGGAGAAGGTTGCTTTGAAGCTGAAACGAGGTTGCCGTGCCGAAACCCATGACTGGAGCCTTTCCTGAAAGGTTAGACTTCGCCCTCTGTTCTCCAGGAGTAACAGGATGCTGCGGATCTCAAACATCTCTGCCCTTTGCTGTCGGTATATTACCGAATCGCAGGCTTTTTCCGCGCTGGGTGCCGGAGGAACAAATCTGAGATGCAGCGTCTCCTTGAACAGGGCCAATTTCTTGCCCAAAAAGCCTCGCTGTGATTTGAAGACTTCCGCCTCTAATTGGTACTCGATTGCACAATTCAACTTGCGAAGGGTGTCTCCGGTATCGACCGCGAACGACGGCGGTAATGGGTGATTCACATCGTTGCGGAAAGGAGACTTCTCAGTCCATCCGGACGACTGCCCTGGCGATTGAACATTGGATGGAAAGGTGAACACGAACGGCCATTCATATGTTCCCGGGGATAGCGTGTCGCCATTGAGATGTGATAAGATCCTCTCTTTATCGAAGAGCACACATTTGCTGCGATAGCTTGCTGAGGGCGCTGCCGATCCCTTGACTTTCTGTACCTTGGCCTTGCTGCGCCCGAAGAAGCTCACCCGAATGTCGTCGACCTCGGTCGCTTGAGCGCACTGAAACTCGACGTGACCACTTATTGTTTCGCCCCCAGAATACCAACGCTGCTGATTGTCAAGGTGTATGATGAGCGGCATATTGGTTGAGGAAGGGGAACGGGGGTGCGTGCCTCAGAAGTCTTGCTGGAGACCGGTCCTAAGTTAATTGCAGAACGCAGCGCGTCAGGGTCTTTAGATAGCAGGGCCATCAGTCTCTGGGTCAGGGTCAAGCTTTTGCATCGAAAGTCAAACGTCCAACATGCTCTCGAGTCGTCCGCCAGTGGGCGTTAAGGATCATCTTGGCCATAGGTCTAGAAAACGAATACGCCAAAGTTACTATATCCGGGATCTCCCCGACCGGTCGGTGGAGAATCTGTCTTCTATTCTTGATCGTCGATCCTTACTGGTCTATCGAATAGGCTTCCCAATACAGCTGTAGCGGCCATGTGTTGGATGGGATCAGCCTTGGTCGTTCCCCGGAGACGTCGAGAAGTCATTTGTTGAGTATATCAGGTACATGTCGAAACATCCTGTCCTGGTAGACTCAGCAATATTACAATTGATTTATTGCTAGCTAAAGGACAAATCGAGCTAAAAGAAGCAAACGGAAACAAAAGCCATGGCAAAAACCAAAAAGATTTTCAGCTATCCCTTTGACAGGCCTTGTGGCTAATCTAATTTCTCTCAACGTCGGAACTTCCTTCGAGTGAACGCCCTAGGACTGCTGGAGATTTGTGACTATTGGGAGTATGCCAAGAGATTCAATTCGAAGGATAACCATCTTGAAGGGTTTATGGACCCCTGAAGTCTTCAGAGTCACTGGAAGCCTCCGAGCATTCCGAGCTTGATGTATCCTCTTTTAGGATCTCATGGCAACCCGGGTGGTGTCCACCCCTCAAGCCATGTTCAGTAACAAACATCTGAAAACGTGCACGGAAGATGGTCCGCCTCAGTCTGATGCGCAAAGTGCGTGCCAATTCAGTCGCAAAATCGTCGAGGACGTCAGTCGGTGCAAGGTGCATCCTCAAATGCCGCTCTATGCGAGTCAGGACCGTCTGCGCGTTGTATCTCGTTAGACCGGAAAGAACTTCCTCGAGCTGTGCACGTTCATATCGGGTAAAGTGTGCCAAGCCTTGAGCGATGACAGTGAAGCCTTCGCGGAAGCCGAGACGGCTCTGCGAGCCCCTGTCCCCGCGACAAAACAGCAGATCGTACAGGAGCAGATGCAGTCGATACCATAGACCGGGGAATCTTGCTTCGTCGCTCAAGTCGGCGAGGGTGAGGTCTTCCCCATGCGAGGGAGTAAGTTCCATGAATGAGGCGAGCGGAGGATCGATAAGTGTGAGGGCCTAAGAATGAGCTTATCTCGAGTGATTGAGCGTGGTGTTGTAGTCCGATAACGATAGGATAAATTGACGCTGGAGTTCGAAGGAACGGGGATGGCTTTTTACGATTAAGAGTGGGAAAGGGGGAGAGATCTACAATGCTTGAATGATAAAACTCTGGCTCAAAGACATGAATCATGCAGGGCAAGAGGGCCTGAGAGCCCTTCCTCATGGAGGGTTATGGAGCATGATGGAAGCTGCGATCGACTTCTTGAAGAATTCAATGACGGAGTGAAGCGAAAAGAGTGTGTTCTCGGGTATCGACTTTCTGAGACAAATGCCGAAGGCTGACACCCTAGTCATTTTTACAACCACTGTTATCTGACCTTGAAACCCCATTCATTCACTACTTACCTTGCATCATCTACGGATCACCGCTTTGCCTCGCGATTAATACTCCGCCCCCAACACACCTCTCTCCATCGACCTTCAACCTCTCTCCTCCTCTACCAACACCACCTTTCCATCTCTAACCAGACTCACAGCACTTATCGTCATGCCTCGTGCAGACTTCTTACAGGATGCAAATGCAGCCTCTCATCCCCAGCTGACTGGCCTCGAGATTCAAAATGACGACACGCTCGCTTTCAACCACATTGGCTCCGGTTCCTCCAGAATCTACATACTCATCCCAGGTTAGCCCCAGGTTGCAAGCCAGTAATTTGATTTAGACTAAGGAAATGCATCACCTCCAGATCTATCTGAATATCCTACTCAGCATGTGTACTATATCTTTGGCGATGACGGGATTCCAGATTCGGTTGCCTATGCCATTCAATCTATCCAAGGCTTATACGACGGGAAACGACTCGATACAATTCTAAAAGGGTTCTGTAGCCATCTCGATAATATAAGTATCAACAGTGATGAATGCGATATTGAGGCTAACGACGAGGATGACCTTGAAATGGATACTGATACTGAGATGGACTGGGAACAGAGCTACTGCCCCGACTGGGGTGCGATCCATAAGCGACTAACGGCAGATCTTCGGGCTGCTAAAGAAGCTGGATTTAGAGCTGGGGTCCTGGGCAATTTAAAAGAACGTACCGTCATCTGCATTTCTTGTCGTGTCGCTAAGCTCAACATCTCCAACGACGCGCTGCAACTGTGGGACGTTTCACCATCAGACTATCTCATTCTCCTCATTGAATACTCGCAGGGGTATCGCACATTAGACAATATCTCTCTAACAAATCAGGAGTCGAGGCCGGTGATGTATATTGGTCTCTGTGACTCTTACAAGCCCACTGTGGAATCTGCCTTGCGAGTTCTTCGTCTTCGTGGAGATTCAAAGGATGCGACGAGTTGGAACCCAGATCCTGCTAGTCACGGACGAGAAATGAGACTATCATTCGTGACAGAAATGCTTACAGATCTGTTCAACGAACGGTTTCTGAAGATAGTCCAACACAGGATTGATCGTGGCTTTTCCTGGACAGGGGCCGAGCAGTACTATGAGAACCATCAAGGAAAAGGTTTCGGCGTTAAGGAAAATGACCTTGCTCAATATTCGATGGAAGAGACCTGGCGTACCTGTGTACCGGACTTTGTTCGGGAAGATGACCTTCAGTACCAGAACGACAAATCGATGTTATCTTTCCCCCGCATCGCGATGCAATATTGTCTTCGACGCTTCACCCGGGCCAGTGAATTCTGTCTAGTGTGTTACTGCAAGACAGATGCCAGTTTCCAGGCGCTGAACCCGTATGTTTGCTCGAAAATGCTTTGCCTGTTCCAGTATCTGGAATGTGGTAAGGGCCCAAAGCTAGAGTGGCAGATTCTAAGTCAGCCTGAGGTCGTAGACCTGCTGGTCTCTTTCGCCTACAGTCGCGCCCGTGAAAAGCGCATGACCGATTGTCCTGGTCTTCCCCTCAAAGTGCCCTATCCATATTTAGACACAAGACGGGCCCTCCATGGGAAGTTGAATGGTAATACGCTTGTTCTGCAAAAACCTCACAAGCTGAAGGTAGGCGAGTGGATACTTCTGCACCATAAAGTGGGTTTTCCGAGCGAACCAGTTCCACCAATTCATTATTATGTTCGCGAGGCCAGCGACAACTTCTACGCACTCTCAGATCCTATCACCAAAGGAGACAAGAAGTGGAAGCAAGCAACATCTAGAAACGAGGACGTGATGGCCATGCCGTATAGTACGGACTTTGACAAATTAGCGCCGGAAGAAAAGCAGCTGGCAGTCGTGAAATTACTCGAGACGCTTCCTGGGGTAGACTCAATGGTCAGCTTCATCAAATGTAACTCTGGCCATCAATCTCTCGACTTGTGGAAAGAACGTGTCTCACCTGCAGCACTGTACCTATTGCGCTGGATTGTTTCCTCAAACAGATCCTGCATCATCTATGACCATAATCCCGAACACAAAGTTACTGGTATGGAGACCCACCTGCAGTTCCGATTTGCGCAAGGGACCCCAGACAAGGAACAGAAATTTGTCAACGCTATCAGCCAAGAAGTCAGTGCTTCGAAGAAGGATTATCCTACCCTCTTTGCTTGGCATGGATCCCCGGTTTCTAGCTGGCACAGCATCCTTCGACAAGGTTTGAATTACGAGGAAGTAAGACACGGGAGGACCTACGGAAATGGAGTTTACCTGGCCCGGGATTTCAATCTCTCACGGAGTTACTCGCAGTGGGACAGTTCACAGAGTCAAGAGACGTGGCCCTCGAGTAAATTAGGGATTATGTCGGCGATATCCTTCAACGAGGTTGTCAATGCCGTGGAGAAGTTCGTATGCACGACGCCATATGTGCTGAAACAGATAGATTGGATCATGCCTCGGTATCTCTTTGTAAAATGTTCCAAGTTCGTGCAGAGCGCGAACAGTTTGGAAAAACCACAAGATATCTACGCGCAGGATCCGCAACATAAGGCTCGCGGTCCCAATGGAACACCAATCGCAGTTCCGTTGTCCGCTGTACGGACTCATATTGCACAAGCACAACTGCTGCCAGCTTGTGGTCCTTGTGATTCAGAAGCTGGTTATGGGAGCGACGCAACTCTTGATGAAGATTGCCGCCTTCTCAAAGGAGATCCGGAGGATGGTGATGACCATGAATTCCGAAAAATCTCAGACCCTTTGGCAGCATTTCTATCTAAAGTTTTGATGAATACCAATATCAAGCTATTGCCTCCACCATGCTACGCCACCTCACAGGCCACAAGAAGATTGATGCGCGAGCTAAAAGCGACTGCGGCGTTACAGAACCGGCGACCCGTGGCTGACCTTGGCTGGTGCATCGAGCCTAGACTGATTGATAATCCCTACCAATGGCTCGTGGCTCTTCACAGCTTTGAGCCGACATCACTTCTAGCGCGGGACCTTGCAGCCACGGATGACAAGTGCGTTCTTCTGGAGATTCGGTTCCCGCCTTCATACCCTTACTCGCCTCCGTTCATTCGAGTCGTCAGACCCCGATTTTTACCTATGAGCGCAGGAGGTGGTGGCCATGTGACATCCGGTGGCGCTATCTGTATGGACCTTCTCACCAGCACAGGCTGGAGTGTGGCATATTCCATGGAGAGCATACTTTTGCAGGTGCATATGATCATATCGTCCTCGGACCCGTTCCCGGCACGTCTGGAAAGACACCGAACGCAGGATTACACATGGAGCGAGGCAGTCGAAGCATTTATTAGAATGTGCCGGATTCACTCATGGAAGGTGCCTGACGACTTTGAGCAAATGCAAAAAGACGAATGAATATTTTGATCCCCCTTGTTCGAGAGAAAATGCGCAGTGATTCCTGAGACTGGACTCGGAATCCGCGGACAATGTATCCAATTGGGACGGGAAGCGTACACTGACTCACAATCTCTCTTTGGAGATGGATCTGAACAAATTATGATTTTGAATCTAACAGCTTCGATCTTGGTTTCAAGGAGCTGAACTAATCCAACCCCGTAATTGTAACATTGATATTCACTTTGGCATCCCTCCCTCTAGCACCGTCGCTCCCATAGCTCACCAACCCCATCTCGGCTAACTCCGCCAGTCCCATGTCGAGAGTCATCCCAACCATCCCGGTGGTGTGGCTCAGGGCCCAGAACTCAATGGATAGCGGGAGTTGATCCAGGACCTCGTTAAGAGCGTCCAGCGCGTGACTGTTGGGGTCGGTCAGGTCGAGCGTCGAGAGCTTGGTGAGGTCGAGCGTGTTGAGGTTCACAAGGCTTGGGGGGAGGGAGAGCGCACGGCGGTAGTTCGCTTGTGAAGGTAGTTTGGTGGTGCCTTGGTGGGCTTGACTGTGTCTGTCGTTGTAGGCGTGGAAGTGGCTGTGGCTATGGGCGTGGCTGGCTGGTGTTGCGGTTGCTTTTTGCAGGATGGCGGCTGTTGCTGTGAGGAGGGTGAGGGGTGAGATGAAGTGCATTCTGTTGGTTTGGTGGGTTCTTTGGGTGGTACATATGGGCTTTGTATCTGGAATTTTGCTGATGGTAGTACTATGCAGGTAAAGATTCTTCGAGGTGTGAGTCTGTGGATTGTTAGGTTCTGTTGTTTCTGGTCTTCTTTTGGCGGTGCTCACCGTATGGTAGAAATTATGGGCGTGCTGTATCTGGGGGGGGGGGGGATATGAAGGAGTGATTGTTCACAACAGAGTGTAAAGGGCGATTGCAATCAGTACTTCTTAAACGAATGATTATCGATGGCATGGTCTGGAGAGGGTGACAGCTGTTGATGGATTACAAGGAGTGACTAGCACATACCTTTGCGTGAGTAGATTGGAAGCAAATGAAACCAAGAGAAATTTTTCCGACAGGAATGTCAACAGCGGACCGGAAACACAACCCAAATCTCCGCTGCCCCGAAGTGTACCTAAGGATCAACAGGGGAACAGCACGCTAGGTCGGTCAGGAGATGGAGTGAGATCTGTGATCGGCGGGTTCCACTTGCTACGCACGATTACATTTACAAGTAACTATCCTGAGAGGGGTACTGGGGTTTATTGTAGATGGAGGCTGTCTGTTTGTCCTTTTCGGTGGGTTGCGTGGGGATATATAGTCTCTGGGCCTGAACCATTCATTCAAGTCACCTGGTGGGAGTTTCTTGTGTTTTTATAGATATAGGTGCAAGAATACTGCAGCTTCGGAAAATGACGATAGACACTCAGCGTCGCTTACCGCAGTGGAGCAACCACGGCCCCATGAGCAAATTAGCACCTTGATTGACTTCGGAATGCAAGGTACGGCGTTGTTCCATGGTACATGTACGTGCCAGGACCGCTCACGCGAACCTAGGATGGAGTTTGAAGATTTTGTCATGCGCCTTTGCTCTAAGTATGAGCGGACCAGGGCTCCAAGGTTAAGTGAGTACATGGATACTGAACTGTAAGCACAAACATAAGTTGCAGCATGGCATTGAAAAAAAAAAAAAAAAATTACTGGTTCTGGTGCAGGCTGGACTGGATATATATATACAACTAAGCGAGCATAGTATCTCATAGATTAAGAAAATGGAGTGCAGTTAAAGCAGAGACGCCTGGATATTAAGTGTTGGCTCATAACGTCAAAATGCAATCAGGATTATATATTCAAATCCTCGATGGTCTAACGGTCATGATTTCCGCTTGTCAATCCTGAAAAGGAACAAGCGCGGGAGACCTGGGTTCGACTCCCAGTCGGGGAGATTTCTTTTTTGTTTGATATTATATACGATTTTGTTCTCTATCGCGGCACAGACATGCCATCGTATTCTAACTGGCGACTATTGGTGTACGATGAATTGGCTGGGATACTGCATATAAACCTGGCTTTGGTGGTGAAAAGGTACCTTGAATTGTGGCAACAGACGAAGAAGCAACCGGTACAGTAAAAGGAATTGAAACTCCTTTGTGGTATGTAGTACAGCTTAGGACTTCAGGTGTGGCTGGTATGCTTTGACTGCCACAGAATTGACATGGTCAAAGGCGATATAGAGAGGGAGCGAATGATGTACAGTCTGAATCAATAATCAAGCCAAAGCTATTTTGCTAACTTAAACCAATACTCTATCTGTTGCCGCTGCAAAGGAAGAAACCTTTCGATTCACAAAGATCTTCGCTTGGCTGCTCGATCAGAACATCTTCGAGTCGCTTTGCCTGATTTCTCAAGTACGCCTTCGCCACCACCAAACAAGATAACCACAACTGTCACATCATCAGGATAGCCGCTACTTGGCGAAGGCGAAATGGGCAAAGCCCCTACGGACTCACCTCGCCATGGCATACCAAGAGCATTCCGGATAAGTTGGGATGCGGCGTTTCTCTCCTCCATCGCGAACCGCCTATCTACATCCATAGAGCTCGTGGACCTTGGGCGTGGACCCAGACGGGGCAGGAGACGTGCTGTAGCAGTTACTGATTCCACAGAATCAATATGCTTCTCCCGCCCTACACTTCCCAGCTCAGACCCTATATTCTCGTGCTCATCAAGCCATCGTGCCATCAGTGCCACAACTTCGTCAGCATCCAGATAATGCCAAAGTCTGCTCGAAGCCAACACAACGAAATCGTCCCACTCAGAAGCGATCTCAATACTTTCCACATGTAACTCAGGGGTGAGGTTCCGTGGATAGAACGGAGCACCGTGTGAATCTGTGAGAAACCCCGTAGCGACCCATGTGTGTTTCCCCTTTTCACCAATGCCACAACCCAATACTGCGCGCGAGCGACCGGTCACCGCCAGATATAGGAATTGAGAATCGGGATCGTAGACTGACAGCAAAGCATATTCCCGGGGGAGTTCATAGTGAGGTTTATTCACGGCAGGGGGAGCCACAGGGGTTGGAGCCATGTCTCCTGAGATGAGTTTCGGCGAGGAGGGCAGGTTGGCGCTCCGGATTTTCCCAGTGTTGAATGCAAGCGCAATGGCCTTTGCTACTGACTTGCTAGCCGGGTCTTTTTCTGCTGAGTACAAGCGTTGGAGCTCCCTCGAAACAGCGGGAGCCAGCAAAAATGTAAGACTCTCGTCACGCAATCTACCACTGGCTTAAGATCGGACAAGGTGGACAGAACGGTGCTTCAGAGGTGATTTACAGATGTTCCTCGAATATACCCCAGATCCCAAGTGTACGGCCGCTATCGAGCCTCATGAACGTTTGTTTTATCGCATTCCTCCATCTCTCACGTAGAGTCGCCCAGTGAAGGCGACATATTCCAGCCTCTAAATGGCTATCTTCATCATCACGGAGTCGTTCGTCGGCTTCCTTTGCGGAGACGAAGTGGCACGATTTTGGCAGTGTGAGCCTTGAATCTTTGATGGTCTCGAGGTAGAAGAGTCTGTCCTTGTAGGGTCTGTCCTGATTAGGTCTGCGCACGTAGAGTGTGCCAAAAGTGTTGTCCAGGAAACTTTGATAATAATAATGATGATAATGACGAACGACGATGATAGTGAAAATCGAGTGAGCGAAGGGTGACTTTCATCAGGAGCAAATTAAGAATCCATTTTACCTCTTTCGGAAACTGCCACCCTGATTCATGAAAACATAATCTGCCAAATATAAAATCAGTGAGATAAGTAATTAGGCGCTGCCAGTTGGTCCCATAAAATTCTAATGATACTGTCATTATAAACAAAGTTTTGACCATACTCTGTATACAGATCCTAATATCAGCGCCAGTTCGGGATCGGCAGGGCGGGCTGCGTCGCGGATCGTTTGCTGCAGGGACGGTGACCTTGTTGCAACAAATCAAGCCAGACTCGGCAGAAACAGCGCCATCACTCAACAGTTTGATCAGGCAGTGTTTCAGCGTACGTTACCATCTGCAGGACTCGGCTCGGGGTATAGTGAAAGTCTTCCAGACAAGCTTCAGGGCGCATAGCCCAAATGCTAGGAGAGAGCAGTGGCTTGTTAGTGGTATATGCCTCATGCTTGAGGTGGTATGACTATAGCAATCATCCATCCAAGGTATCCGTGCCCTTCAATCACTGCCATCATCTTCCTCCATTGGTTCGAGCGCCACCTGAGTGCTGGGCCCGGCTACATCGCTCGGCCGCTGCGTATTCGAGCTTCGTCTTCTCCGAGCGTGCATCTCCTGATCGGCCTGTGTGACTGCCCTCTCTCCAACGAACTTGTTTCCCGGCCAAATCTCCTTACATACCGGGCAGATATCAGCTTGCTGAGAGCGGAAGAAGTGGCGCAGACAATGATCGTGCAGTCTCCCAAGACAGTCCCGATTAACACAACGTTGACCCTATCCCCCAACACCTGTCAGCATCCCATCCCTCAACATCAGGCGGAATAAAACAGCACTCACCGCAGTAATCAAATCTTTACACGCAGCACAGAGCTTGATCTTCCGGATCCCCTCCGCCTCATCGTTATACGTGGCGACCAACCACCCCCTTAACTCCATCAAGCCCCGAGGACTAAGACTATAGAAGCCGTTCCGACTCTTCCCAAACCACCCCTCCTCAACCAACTGTTTCAACAGCATCTCCGCCTGCGACATGGTCAACGACTGGACCGCCCCACCCACCACCTGCGAGTCTGGCTGCGTCTGTGCCCCCTGCGTCAACGTTGTCTGCGACTGCGACGGCAGCAACCCGGACTCTCGCCGCTGGCTCGCGTCCCCGGAAACCTTAGCCAACTGCAACGCCTGGATGCCACTGACGACCATCGCCTCACAGCGCCGCGTATTATGTGTCTCAAACATCGCGTCCAGCAGCCGCTTCACAAAGGCAATCTCGTCCGCCGAGTACGTCGTCGCCAGCTGCGTCATCGCATCGCTGGTTGTATTGACGAGCGCGTACACCCGCTCCGGCGGGGGAACGGTCGTCTGGCTCGGGTCAACTTCGATCTGGGGGAGGGTGCTCCGGATCTCGAGGTCAAAGGGCGAGATGGCATTGTTGGCGGTCGCGATATAGGATTGGAGTTCGTCTTCGGTGACTTCTTCGGCGGAGACAGCTTGTTTTTCTATTTTTTGTTGCGGGGGGTTAGTACCGCGCTGCTGGCATTGGAAAGAGAGTAGTGATTGTGCATGCTCCAAGACAGGGAACGGTACCATGCGCAGAGAAGATCGCTGCTAAGACGGGTCTGGCTTCCTCGAACGTCATGGTCGAGCGGCCCATGAAGGCTTGGAGGAATGCGCGGTTAGTGTCATTGTAACTGTAGGGGCCTGTTTCTCGGACCATTGTCGCAGACGATGGTTGTGCCAGTATAGAAGATGGCTTTGAGAGCTGGAACAGATATGGCGAGAAGATGGGGTTTATGTCTCTGGCTTGGGAACAACAAATGAAAATTGAGGGGACAAAGAATTGCGGAAGACGCGATGCGGCACGCGCTCCCCGCGTTTGGTAGTATTATTGATTTGGGGAGGGCCACCCGCCAAGAGTCCCCGGGAGATTTCTTTGTTGCAGTGAATAATATGATACGAGTGGTAGATTCCAGTCTATGAGATGATATTCCTATTTCATATTAACGCACTAGCATCGCAACCCAAGCTTATACATCATGGTATTGAGAAGAAAGAGACGACCAAATCAGAAAAAGATGGGAATCGAAAATACAAGTGACAATGTCATGAGGTTCAGATTTCCCCGGAAAACGCCGCGAATCGTATACAAATGATGATTAAGAAAGAGAAGAGAAAAGAAGAGAAAGAAACGAGTCCAAAGCTCACGGACCTTTTCTCGGCGCAGACACATCCTAAAACCTCCGCCGGGTGGGCTCCGGGCTAGGACTGCGACTGACACTCCGGGCATCACGACCCCGTTCCTTCAACCACTTCTTCGTACTCAACCGCAAGTCGCGGTCCAACTCATTGCTGGGGTCCTTGCGGTGAATGAAATTGCAGAACCCTCCACGAACACAGCCCTCCCCGCTATTCAACCGACAACACGCTTCCCGAAAATCCGTCACCGGTGATAACTCGCAGTATATCGGTCGCGCCGCATACCATCTGGAATTTAGCGCGTCGCAGGCAGCCTGTGCGTCTTCCTCGTACTTGAAGCGGGCGTAGACGTTGCCAATTAGGTCTGTTTAAAGCAATGGCAGGTTAGTCACTGATGCGGTCAAGGGTTGCGGTCTGCGGAGAGGACGACCGAGTATATAGGAAGGAGGGGGGCAAACATACGATCATTGTTATTGTCGCAAACAACCAATTCCTCCAGCTCGCCGTACTTGCACATCTCACACCACACATCCTCGTAGAACGCATCGAAGTGGTTCTGCAGCTGGCTCGGGTTCATCTTGTTCTTCGGGTCGTAGGCGGGATTTTGGTACATATTCGGCATCAGGATTGTCTGCGAGTACGAGGGCTTGACGTGCTTTCGCGAGCAGCGGTCGCCGTGTCGGCAGGCACCGATCTTGTAGTAGAAGGAGCAGTTGACCTTGTCTTGCTCGGTACCGAAGATAGAGGCGAGGTAGTTGGCCATGGTGTTATAAAGATGCGCCGCGGCGATGATCCCTTGTCTGGGTGAATGAGTTGGAGAAAAAGCAAGATAATGCTCAGTATTTTCTGGCGGAGGAAGAATGAGGGAGAGTGAGAGAGATGAATGCGCACGGGCACGGAGGCAGAGTTGTTTGTCCTGAACGGTTTCCCCAGCTTCTCATTGAAGTTTCTGGACAGCTCGAGCTCGTGGCGGTGAGAATGACTAAGCCCGGAGAAGGTTCTGGTGCCTGAGGCTGCAACTGCTACCTTATACAAGTAATCAAGAACTACGTCCTTTGATGTTCCAAGATGGTAACTAGTACATGCTATTATTAACTGTGGCAAGCACAGTAGCTCGGCCTGTCTGTCTAATCTACACACCCAGCCCGCTTACATCTGCTGAGGGCGTAACGCCTCTCACCATCTCGGCAATGACCTTGCCGGTGCCCAGACTGAGCGAAATGCCCCAAGGACCATGGCCCGCCGCAACGTATACACCCCCGGCGGCTTTAACTCCTCCCAACAGATCATCTTCAATCTTCCCAACGAATGGAGTCCCACGCTCCGAAGCAGGTCGGAAACATAGCCCTTCACGGAGGACTTCCAAGTCGTCGATGTTCGTGATTTCGTCTGTGGCCTCAGAGCTGCCCTCCGCAAGCTTTCCGAGAAGACGGACAGAAACTGCTTTAAGCCTGTCCATCTCCTTCTGCTCCATCGACTTGTGGTAATCATCTGCTCGTTCCGGAAGTGGAATCTGCGTTGTATTTAAGCCTGCGATGTAGACCTCGGCTCCCTGTCGCGAGAACAATTCCGGGCAGAAGCCGCAGGATGGAGGATATGTCGTGAATAGAGCTTGGCTGCGACCCTTGTATGTCGTTTGCTCGTGCTCCACGGTATAACGTGGGGAGCGTAGGACAAGAGAGTAGCCGGCCAGGGAGTAGATAGGGAGCGAAACTTTAGCTATAGGGAATAACTCTTGGATAACCCGCTGAGTCCACGGTCCAGCGCAGATTATGAGGTTCGAGCAAGCGATTATAGTTTCAGCTTTCGTTTCGAGATTCTCAATCTTGACCCCCGTGACAGCGCCATTTTCTCCCGGCGCAAGAGATGTGGCTTTCGCAGGATTGTGGATCTTCACGCCTCGCTCCATACATGCATCCAAAAGAAAGCTGCACAATCTCAAAGGATCACTAATGACAGTTAGTATAACTTCGGTCAATCTCAGAGACATGACCTACACCTGTGCAGTATCATCATCTTCACTAATTTTCTCCACCTCTGCCCCATGCTGCCTTGTCAACCACGAAGGTGGTTCCGAAATGCTCTGCTCCGATCCCGCTGCGGTTTCCGCCCGACTGGTACCCGTGCGAAGCCAATCATCACCACGTTTCCCGCCCTTCTTTTTCGCAACACCCAGGCTTAGTGCACTGCCTTTCATATATCCCCATTTCTCTGCACCGCCATTCTCAGCAGCAAGAGTCTCGTGCAGTCTGAAGGAGAGGTCGCCTAATGGTGCTAACGAAGGGGCGAACCAGTCCCTGGCCATGAAGCCAGCAGCATAACCAGAAGCGGAGCAAAAGAGCTTGGAAGAGGAATCAACAACATGAATGTTCTCTGCAGGTTGACTTTCGGAGAGATAATAGGCGATTGAGGTTCCAATGATTCCTCCTCCGAGGATAACTGTTGCCATTGTGGAGGGCGATATACGATTTTTGTATGAGGCTTCAATGGGCTTATGATTTGATCTGAGTCAAGTAGTGACTAGATAATTCTTCCCCAGGGAATTGGCCGCTTTAAGGAGAATATAAATATGGCGGGGTAGATCTAGACCAGACCGTTTGACAATCGGCTTTAGACCACGCCCTTTGAATGACTTATTGCAGCGGAATGGCCTTATCAGATACCAGACCGGCTGCTCACCAGGAACCGGCCCGGTATACGAATATGATGAGCTGTTGCCACAACCAATGATGAGCCCAAGTCAGGTGGTGCAACACTATCAGCGTGAGGCTTCCCCGAGTTCGGCTTCACGGTCCGAGGTGGAGTAAAGAGGATTGGCAGTCGGTTTCCCGCGGAAAATCATTCTGGGATTCGTGGTTAGTGATATGGCTTTATTGCATGATCTTGTTCTGGAAAATAGAAGGATTTCCCAGTAACTTAAACAGTCGAGTGTGGTAGACGATTGTCATGGACTGCAGAGATTATGCATAACCTCTCTGTCCGTCCTCGGTCATTGCTCGGCTTGGATGGACAACATCAACTGAGATGACGGATAGATCAAACAGCATTGACAGCAAGATCCTTTCAATCCCAAGGCAATACCAATGATCAAACTATCGAATTCGCAACAGTCATTGTAGCTAGCATACTACGAGAACGGCGGCGGGCGGGACAGAACAACAACCCCACGTTCCCCCTCATTACATCACCGCCCCGGGGACCAGCTTTTTTCTCCCTCGGAATGTCTCCTGGCAGCTTCACTCCAACCAGCTCTTTACCCCACACGTTCTCTCTTTTCTCGTTTCATAAGCCCATAATTAAACCTTGAGAAAATGTCGAGCAAGACCATCATCGTCACCGGCGCCTCCAGAGGTAATTGACTCCCTAACTTCTAGCAATAGCACCATGACTGACACAATCCACCTCTATTATAGGTATCGGCCTCGCCATTGCAGAGTATCTCCTTACCGCGCCTCAATCGCACAATGTCGTCGTGATCGCCCGTAGCGTGGAGCCTCTTCAGAAGCTCAAGGATCAATACTCACAACAAGTCGCGGTCCTGAACGGTGACCTATCCGACTTCTCCCTCGCCCAGACGTCCGTCGACCTAGCTATCAAGACCTTTGGCCGCCTGGACGGCATGGTCCTCAACCACGGCATCCTCGGACAAGTGGGCAAAATTGCGCAAGCCGATCCCGAACAATGGAAGCAAGGATTCGACGTCAACTTCATGAGCCTAGTCGCGTTTGTGAGTTTCGAAGTTGCATCCAATTCATGGCACAAAGAAGGGAAGAGCTAAGACATGGCCGCGATAGGTCAGAGCCGGTCTCCCAGCATTGCGGGAAACAAAGGGCAAAATCATCTTCACCTCGTCGGGCGCCGCGGTGTCCGCGTACAGGGGATGGGGTCTCTACGGTGCAACCAAGGCCGCCATGAACCACCTCGCGCTGACCCTGGGTGAGGAGGAACCCGATGTCACCAGCGTTTCTATCCGCCCGGGAATGGTCGACACCGAAATGCAGCGTCAGTTGCGTGAGGACCATGCTACGACATTGGAGCCTCAGGTGCATTCCAAGTTCACCGGAGCCTACGAGGGCGGCAAGCTGCTCAAGGTGGAGCAGCCCGGCCATGTTATGGCAAAGCTGGTGCTGGATGCCCCGAGCTCGTTGAGTGGAAAGTTTTTGAAGTAAGTTGTGTGAAAAAAATTCTTCCATTGTGGATTCTAGCTAACTTTGTCTCCCAAGCTGGAACGACAACCTCCTGGAGAACTTCCAAGAGTAAGATTACGAATCCTGAAATACTTGAGAAAGCCAGTTAGCATACACTACTATCAATAAACTTCATAGAACACAAAGCGAGATAGAGTTGTTTTGATCAGCCGAAAGATGAAAAGCAGGTACATTTTAGAAGCATTAGGTGTAGCACACCTTCATACTTAGCATGGAATGTAGGTTGTTCATCACATAACAGGAGGGAATGACATGTAAGAGATTGTGAAAGCATACCTTAAGCTATTTTCTATTGTGGAAGAAAATTTACACGAGATTGGTAACAGAAAAAATTGATTGCATTATATCAATATCTTGGGCACTGTATCTCAAGTTCAAATTTCCTAAATTCTTCGAATCGGTCAGCTTTGAGTTTTCAAAGATACTGAGTGATAACAAAAGCAATGATTTTGCAAAGATATCAGTAGTCCGTTTGGCTTGGACAGTGTACGTCACCATAGAATGGTCTGATAGGGGCGACAACGATGTTCATCATGGTAGAGCAAGGAAAGAGACGAGGCAAAAGAACATACCATTGGTGTTAGTCCATTGTTGTGTTGTTTGATCAACAAAGGTTGACCGCAGAAAAAAAGGAAGCCAAATCAAGTTTCCTTGTTGTGCGAAGCGCACTGTGTGAATGAAGAAGCAAAGAAAAAAATTCAAGGCTGCGGCGCAGAATAAAAAGCCATGAGGGCGGTATGTTTCTGCCAAGTGTAGTTCTTCCGTTCCGTGTTGGAGTCCCTCCGCGCCGGAATTTGATCCTCACAGCTATTTAGACCATCTAGTCCCCGCGCGCGGTGGGCGAGCCATACTTCTTGCGAAGAAACAGCTTCACCGAGCGCGGGACTACTTCCTATCCAACCATATTTTTGCACCATTATTTGTCGACTATGTCGGATCGAGAATTCAGTTGTAAGTTCTTAAGTTGATTTCCTTTGCGCGATCACAATAAAAAGCTGACTCTTGAATGTATAATAGCAAACGACGACCTGTCGCTGCCAAAAGGTATGTGCTGAAGTGTCGCGTTGTTTAGAAAGCGTGGGCGCAAAGGGTTCTTTGTCCACCTCGGTCGCGTCATTGGTCCGGGTCCAAGCGAATACGCGTATCTAGTCTAACCGACCGCAAACTATAGCGACGGTCCAGAAAATCATCACCGAAATCCTCCCGCCTTCCTCAGGCCAGACATTCTCCAAAGATGCCCGCGACTTGCTCATGGAATGCTGTGTCGAGTTCATCACCTTGATCTCCTCCGAGGCCAATGACATTAGCGAGAAGGAGGCCAAGAAGACAATTGCTTGCGAACATGTCGAGCGCGCCCTGCGTGATCTTGGCTTCGGCGACTACATTGCCGATGTCCTGGCTGTCGCGGAAGAACACAAGGAACAGTTAAAGGTACGCCTCGTGATTACACTATCGGGGGATCCACGCGATACTAACGCGCCTTTCGTCGGCAGTCCCGAGAAAAGAAGCAAAGCAAGATGGAACAAAGCGGTTTGTCCGAGGAAGAGCTGCTCCGACAGCAGCAGGAGTTGTTCCGCTCCGCGACCGAAAAGTATCACGCCGCTCCGGAGTAGAGGCAACGACTATGCATGAAAACTGTAATGTGGATTGATCTCATGCTGGTCATAGGAGATCTGGGTTCTGGAGTTTGAAATTCCTGAGGACAGAGATTCGGAGTTTGTTGGTTTGGGTTGTGCTTGGGAAAAAGGTTGGTTGTTTATTTCGTGCCCTTTGAGGCTTCGCTAGTTTGGCTCATCTAATCCTACATTGCTTGTGGCTGATCCCGCAACACACACTTTCTTGCATTCAATTCCGTCCTCGCTGGCATTGTAGATTTCTTAGAAACTATACGGTTAGGATAAACGCGGGGTTGGGCATGTACAGTACAGCCTCGTCTTGATCTTACATCGGGCTACAGCAAACTGCGTCAATACTTCAAGCGATCAGAGTGAAGATTTTATTTACTTACTTAGGAACCCTTCGGAACTAAAGACCAACGATAAGAATGCCGGCCTATTACTTGTATAGATTTAGTCAAGTTCGTAAACGAAGCACAGACCACCGCCCTGACTGCGACGCTTAACCCAATCGGGTTCTCCGCCCAACCTCCCAGCGCGCAAAGCTCGCTGGTGCAAACACCGCGGAGTGACAGCGCCGTGAATGCGACAGTTCCAGGCCTCGTCACTCTGGATCATCCATCATGCCCCCCTTCAAGGATGAGCACATTCTGGTAAGCTCAGACCGCCTCGGCCCGTCCAATCCCCTATCGCTGCCTCAGAAAAAGTCTACAATGTCACCCGGACTAAAACCCCATCGTCCAGATAATTGCGCCAGGCTCGCAAGTGACCCTGGCGCAGCTCGGCCTTCCTGAGTCGTTTACGCCTGCTCGCTTCCGCTTTCCCACGCGTATGTTCCATGCCGAGAAAAAGGGCGAATATGAGCCATACAAGATTCGCGAGCGTCGGCAGGAAGTCCCGGTCAGCAAGGGTGTTGAGGCGCCCAAGGAGGACGTGGAGATGAAAGATGCGGATCCCGCAGCCCAACAAGACGCGGTGAAGACGGGGACGACCGAGCAGCCTTCCGAAACCCCTGCCAACACAGAGAAGAAGGAGGAAACACAATCTACCGACGGCCAACCGGCCGACCCCGCCGCCAAGCCTACGACCACGGAGGTCTACTATGAAGAAGACGTGACATCGGACGAAGGGGCGATCTATCCCATCCAGAATGGCCGCATTGTCGACTGGCCATGCTTCTTCGCCCTCCTGAGCCACGTCCACAATACCCTCAGCCCCCCGTTCCACACCCCGATTATGCTCATCGCCGAACCGATCTGGTCCGCACGGGACCGCGAGACGATCACCCAATTCGTTTTTGAGAAGTTCAAGACACCTGCTTTCTGCATGATGGACTCTGCGCTCGCAGTCTGTTACGGCTACGGTACATCAACGGCCACGGTGGTTGATGTCGGCAAGGATAAAGTCGACGTTACGGCCGTCACGGATTTCATTGTCAGCGAACACGGAAGAGGCCTTGCCTTGGAAGGCTGCGGAGGAGACTACATGACAGATCGCCTTGTGGAGCTCTTGGGCTCGAAAGGCTTCTCTAGAGAGATGTGCGAACAGCTGAAACGTAGCAACATCACCGAGCTTCTGCCTCCTGGAACGCCGCTGCCCGGAGCCGCTGCAACCTCACGACAAGGCGTCAACCCCGCCGCATCGGCGTCCACCGGGGCACAGAATGGCAGCACAAATGAGACAATTCCCCGTGGCCCGGGTGTGGGTACCCAAACCGGGACCGAGGGGAACGGAGACGACGAAGACGAGGGTTTGTTGGACGTCGCTGCCATTGTTAGCGGCAACACCAGCGAATTTCTCGCCAACCGTGAGAAAGAAAAGGCGGAGAAGGCTTCTACCAAGAAGAGTAGTGTAGATCAAAGCGCAAAGCCCGTTCGTCTACCCAATTCGAAGAAAGAGAAGGCCACGTTCCAGTTCGAGGAGTATGTGAGGTTAGAGTCCGAAAAGGATGGATCGAACGGTTCCGGTCGGTACATCCGTCAATCGCGGGAGATTGAGGTCGGTGTCGAGCGCTTCCTGGCGGCAACGCCCAAGCAGAACTCCGGCGAGCGCCTAACGAACGGCCTTTTGGAGGATATCGCAACCCAAATCCACCACACGATTCTTGCTGTGCCAGATGCAACCAAGCGGAGTGAGCTCTGGGATTCATTAATTGTCGTCGGTAATGGCAGCAAAATCAAGGGTTCGTTCGGCTCCTCGTCGATGTGGCTCCTGTACTAATCTCCTTTCCTAGGATTCACGGCATCTCTGCTCGGCGCCATCACCCAAAAATACATCCTCTCCCCATCTGCTACCATGTTCACCTCCGAGATCCCCTCAAACTTCTCCACCCCTCTTCCGACTGGAGGAACCAACACTCCTGCACCTTCCGGCCAGCCGGGTCCGATGAACCACCCTGCTGGCCACGGTGTCAATCCTCTCCTTGTGGCTGCCACCCACTCCAACAACCCGGCATCTTCCAGCATGCCCCCGGGAACCCCACTAATGGACCCCACCTCGATGTCGCATCATCGATCCACGGGACACTCGCAGACGCCGACCTCCGTCAAGACCCTGCGGCCTCCGGAGTATTTCTCCGAGTGGAAGGAGCAGGCGAACACAAACGCACCCGGAGCGGCTGGCCCTGGCGGCCCTGGCGCGGCGAGTAGCGGCCATGGTATGGAGGAGGCAGTCTTCCTGGGGGCTCAGGTCGCATCCAAGGTCGTTTTCGTGCTCGATCAGGGTCTCAGCAAGGGCTTCATGACCCGAGTGGAGTATAACGAGAATGGGCCGTCAGCGATTCATGATTATGTCATGTGATGGACTTTTAACGCAGGAGAGAGGAGATAACGCACGATGATTCTGATTTAAGGATATGGAATTGCTCTTGTTTCGAATTCTGAAATACTCAAATAATGTATTTGTCAACAACAAAGGATTTCGTTCTCTCTAATTTTGTACTCTAACATCACGACTGGCGTCTCAATTTGTTCCTCATTTCAAGCTAGAAAAAGCAATTTTCTAACATCAGGGTTCAGTAAGAGTGGGAGTAGGTAGAAACGGGAAGAGGAAGACATGGAAGGGATTTAATTCTAATATCACACGGTAGTTTTGTCTAGATAAACCCTCGCTCACCATACAGACCTATGTACAATAGTTACATGCACTCATACACCCCCCCAAAAAACCCCCACTCATATCGCTCCACGACCGACCTCCCAACCCCGGACTCAACTCAGGCCCCAAGATAAACATCGACCTCGATCTCCAAATTCTGGCCCTCAAACGGCAGCGCATCGATGCCTAGCATGGTCCACGTCGGCTGATGGCTGGGACACCACCTCCGCACCTCATCGACCATCAACCCGATGACGGTCTCGCGGTCCGCGGGGAGGTTGACGTGGTAAGTGCGCAGCTTGACGACCAGATCCCAGCCCGTGGCGACCTGGGCGCGGAGCTCCGGGCGGGCCCGCTCCAGCGCGTACAGGATCACCTCGTTGATGTTGGCGAAGGCCTGCGCGACTTCTTCTTCCAGCGTTGGCGGGATGGTGGTGGAGGTGGGCGACATTCCGGCTTTTCGGGAAGTGTTAGTTTGAGGGGGGATGCTGGTTCAAAATCAATGGATTGGAGGGCTATGGTCCTCTGTATGAGGGTTCAGGCATTGGGGAATCGAAGGGAATCGGGATGCCATGTGAGAGGGCTCTCCCCGTGGGCAAAGGCAACTGACTCTGTCCGGCTACTTCCATTCTGTCGCCGGCGACGCACGCTTCGGAGAAGCCGTATTCATCTTGAAAGTGTTGGCCGCGGCCGGGGCGGGAGTAGCTGGGGATCTTGGGGGGCATGGTAGTTGGTGGGTTATTTATGATTGTGTAGGTTTAGATATAGGGGAAGAGAGGACTATGGAGGGGGGTTAGGGAGGGGAAGTGATGCATATATGAGTAGGCTCCATTAGGGGGCAAGGTGAGCTCATAGTGGACTGCGGTGATACGGGGTAAGATGGGGTATGCTAATTTAGGAGGTGACATGACATGGGTGTATGCCATGCTTCGTGGTCGAGTAGTCGGCTGCGGCGTTGATTCAGTCTATATCAGTCTTGAAGATTCGATTGGCTTCAGAGCTTGAAACAATGATCATCTCGCTTGTCGTTGCGGTTAGCTCCTCTGTTCATTGCCTGTTGCTCCTCCCCAGAGGAGGTGTCAATGTGTTGAGAAAGGATGGGAGAGGGGAGTAAAGACAGCGAGGCTTTAGCACATAAACAAGCCCCACGTAAGATAATAGTCTCATGCAAGACAGACCAATCTCTGTGCTTGGCTTCTTCAGCCTGACCAATGTGTCACGTGCAAATGTTAACGTAATCGGTAAGCGAGTCGGCCACGTAAGCGAGTCGGCCACCCCATCAACCACCACCACGCCCACAAAACTGCCTGTATACAGACATCGATTTCTCCACCAAAAATGCCTCGATCATCAAAAGTTTCTGTGGAACAAGAAGGCAGGCTCTGCCTCGCAGTTGAGGCTATAAAAAAAGGTCAAATTCGCTCAATTCGCAAGGCTGCAGATACTTTTAAAGTTCCGCGTTCAACTCTTCAAGATCGTTTGAATGGCATCACGTACCGCAAGGAAACACGCGCCAATTGCCATAAACTGACTCCTTTGGAAGAGGAATCACTTGTCAAATGGAT